AAAAGTAAATCAGAGACATATTTATAGTAATTATGCAGGCAAATTTGCCTGCAAATCTCTACCAATTAAGGGATATACACAACTTTTTCCAATGATCACTCGATCCAAAATTCTCATGGAAGAAAAACACAAATTTTGTTGGAGAGTCATGGCCTAACGCAGTGGTTTGTCTAAAGGCCAACGTACTGTCTAGCGGGACTCCTCTACAGGTGGTATTTGGCATACAAGCCAAGAGTATTATTATACAAGATAACTGGCAGGAGGTGCCCTTGTATAAAAAATCTTGGTGGAGAAGAGAACTTTATGGATATTCTGGACACCCCTCTTTTTTCATTGATGAAGCTCTTAGGTCGTTACTTCAAAGAAGAACACAGAGAAACAACAAAATATTCTGTTACTTTCTTCAAGCCGCACTCCTTTTACTTGGTTAAGTGATACCTTTACTCTCTCTTATCCTTTCGTCGGTCTTCCAAAAAATTCCAACAAAAAGTGGGGATTTGGCTTACCCCTCCAAAAGATTGGCATTGTTTACTTTCCAAATCTGGACAAATTAGCGGAATGCAACCATGTGTTTGTTTATAAACGAATATGTCACTTTTTTATGGGACTCAGTCTGGAAACTCTAATTATGGCAGCAGGTAGCTTGAGACACGGGTCTTTGGATGATGGCAGCACCTAGCTCGAGATACGAATTAGGACGGGCAACGAAGCTATCCAGAGTTGGTGGAAGGTCGGAAAGTAAATTTAACGTTAAGGCGAAGCTTTACAGTAGAGATATACAAATGCTGCATTTGTTATATAATTTTTATCAGCCTGGCATGGGTTATAATAGTGCTTTTAGGGTTTTAGATTTCTTTTCATGTTTTTTCTTTTTCGCAATCAGTGTTTCTTTTTTCTTTTCTGTTTTTTCTTTTTCTTTTTGGTCATTTTCGTTACTCTTTGTTATAAAATTTTTCCCTTTTGTCTCATGTCCCTTGAGAAGAAGGAAAAATTAGAAGGGAAAAAAGAGATCCTGACGCGGTATGCAACAACCTGTCAAATGATCGAGGGGGTATCCTTTGACAATACAAAATTCGAAGCAAGTTTTAGATCCCGAGTGAGACTAATAGTTGTCATAGCAGGTTGCATTGGATAGTACTTAGGTATATCTAGTAAGTTTTTATTAGACTAGAACTATTCACTATATGAAAAACATATGTACTTTGTTACAGTGGATTCACATAGCAGTTCACAATTAATAAAAGCAGGATCACTTAAAAAAAAAAAAAAAAAATTAATGTATTAAATAAAATAAATAAGTAAATAAGCTTAAATGTTTAAAAAGTAAAAGTAAAATGATTTAAATTGTTAAATTATATAATTTTTTATTATAGTCTTGAATATAAGTATTATTTTAAATATTAAATTTGTTTATATATTCTACTCTACTACTAATACTAGTTCTACAAGCATATCTGGAGTTTCTGCTACAAGTTAGTTGCTAACTGGGAAAAAAGAAATGAAATAACCCAAGAAAAGAAGAAGGAAAAAACAAAGAAAAGAAAGTTGAGTTGGAACGATGAGTTGGGCAAGAAGAACAAAAATTCTCAAAATTCCAAAGATAGCAGAAAAAAATGTAAAAGAGTAAGAAGAGGAAAAAAGAAAAAAAATCTAGAAGTAACAAAAGAGAAGGAAAAAATAGTTGAAGAATAGATCTCCTGGAGTAACAAGCTAGCATGGTTTTTGCTGGGCAAAGTACAAGAAAAAAGTTAAGCAATTCTGATACGGCATACAATGACCAATTAATAACCAAGAGGAGTATCAATATATAATACAAAATCCTTAGTAAGTTAAGGATCCTGAGAGAAATAAATAGTTGTTATAGCAGGTCACATTGGGTAAATACCTGGTAAGTCTTTATTAGATTAGAACAATACACTATAAGAATATAATACAATTGTATAATAGTCATATAGTAGTTTATATGAATAAAGACAGGATTGCTTAAAAAAAATAAAAAATATAAATTTTTTATAAATATATTTATTGATAGTATTGCCGGTTCTAAACAAGTTATACAGGTTTAAGCTAAATCAGTAAATGTGTTGAGTTTTTAAATAGGTTAGATCTTAGTAAATTAAAAAAAGATAGTTAATACATGAATAATTAAATAATTAATGAGTTGGTGACTAGAGAAAAAATTTAGTGATTAGCGAGTAGTCAAGTAGTAGTTGGGTTTAAAATCATGAATTGTAATAAGTTTTAAGCTATTTAAAGTTATGAATTATAAAAAAACTCTATATTTACAAATCGAGTTTTTACTATTTAAAATATGTTATATTTATTTAATAATTGTGTAGATCATTTTTTCTAATTGACTCATGAATTATCAATTAAAAGATAATAAAAGAGAAAGCAAAAAAAAAAGAACAAAGAGAAAAGCTTTATATACTAACAAAGTAGATTATTTCTATCAGGAAGTAATACAAAGAAAAACACTTTTTAATTTGCAAAAAATATATAAAAATTATATAACAAATACAATATTTGTATATCTTTACTATAAAGCTATGTCATATTTATGTTTTTTTTCAATTATTTGACTAGCAGCACACTGCAACTCTTTCTGATAATCACTTGGACCGAAATTCCTACTAACGAAAAACAGAAAAATTTGTTGGAGAGTTGTGGTCTACTGGCGGTTTGTCTAGAGATTAACTTACTACTACAGGGAACTTCTTTACAAGGAACATTTGGCATGCAAGCCAAGAGCATTATTATATAAGATAACTGGCAAGGAGTGTCTTTGTATAAAAAATCTTAGTGGTAGATGGTTCAGAAACAGACTGATGTTGTCAACAAAGCTTTTAAATCGTTACTTCAAAGAAAAACACTAGAAAACAACAAATTATTTGTTGCTCTGAAGCCGCACTCTTTTTTTTGTTTCAAGTGACTCCTCTACTACTTATTTTCAACTTTCTGCCATTCTTTCAAAAAATTTCGACAAAAAGTGGGGATTTGGCTTATCTTTTTCAAAAAATCGGCATTGTTTATATCCAAATTCGGACAGACTCAGTATAATTACAACTAACATGTTTTGTTTGCTTAGAAGATACAGCACTACTCCATGTAACTCTACGTGACTTGGATCAGGGTTCCAGGTTAAAAAGATATCAGGATTTGGCTATTAGTCGGAAGATATACATTATGGTTTTGTTTATATAATTGAAATATACAATGGTTGTAGTTGTTATAAAATTTTTATTGTAACTTGGCACGAGTTATAACAGTGCAATTTTTTTGTTTATAGCAACCTTTGGGTTGCTTGGCTGCTTCTTAATAGAGATAGCACCTACTTTGTCAGCCTTCTTGGCTTTTCTCTTTGTTTTTCTTTTTTTATATGTTCTTTTTTCTTTTTTTTTTTCTTTAAAATTCTCCTTTTATTTAATTTGTTTTGTTGTTAGATATAGTTTTCTTTTTGTTTCATGATTGGTAATTTTGTAGCAATAGTATAAAATCATTACTTTCTTTTGCTCTCAGTAAAGAAAGAAGAATTGAAGAGATTAGCTCTTGACGAGCTAACAAGGTCTATCCAACTTGTATACAAGATAGTGTGATGAGTCGCTTATAGGCATGGTTTCCACAGCTAGGAAATATCTAGTTTGCAATTTTTAAGGCTTAGTTTAGTTAAAATAGTTTACTATTGTTGATTAAATAAATAAAGTTTTTGTATTCAAGCTTTGACAAAACCGTCAAAGAGTTAAAAAAAAAAAAAAAAAAATTATTTAACTAGCTTTAATAATAATCAGGTAAACTCTTTCTAATGATCACTTAGACTAAAATTCTTATTAATAGAAAAAACAAAAAAATTTGTTGGAGAGTTGTGGCCTAATAGTGGTTTGTCTAGAGGCTAACTTTCTGGTATAGAGAACTCCTCTACAAGGGACATTTGGCATGCAAGCCAAGAGCATTATTATACAAGATAACTGGCAGGGAGTGCTCTTGTATAAAAAATCTTGGTGGCAAGCAAGTCAGAACCGATGTTATCAACAAAGCTTTTAGATCATTACTTTGAAGAAAAACACTGAGAAAACAACAAATTATATGTTTGCTTTGAAGCTGTACTCCTTTTTCTGTTTCAAGTGGCTCCTCTATTACTTATTTTCAACTTCCTGCCATTCTTCCAAAAAATTCGAAAAAAAGTGAGGATTTGGCTTATCCCCTCCAAAATATTAGCATTGTTTATATTCAAATTTGGACAGACTTGGTATATTATAACTAATATATCTTGTTTATTTAGAAGATATAGCATTACTTCATATGACTTGGATCAGAGTCTTAGGTTAAAAAGGTATCTGGATTTGGCTAGTAGTCAGAAGGTATACATTATAGTTTTTTTTTTGTTTTTAGAATTGAGATATACAACAGTTGTAGCTATTATAAAATTTTTATTATAACTTGGCATGGGTTATAACAGTGCATTTTTCTTGTTTGTGGCAACTTTCAGGTAGCACCCACTTTGTCAGTTTTCTTGGCTTTTCTCTTTGTTTTTCTTTTTTTATATGTCTTTTTTTTTCTTTAAATTTTCCTTTTGTTTAATTTGTTTTGTTATTAGATATAGTTTTTTTTTGTTTTATAATCAGTGATTTTGTAGTGTTAGTATAAAATCACTACTTTCTTTTGCTCTCAGTAAAGAAAGAAGAATTGAAGGGCTTAGCTCTCGACGGGCTGACAAGGTCTATTCAACTTGTATACAAGGTGGTGTGACGAGTTGCTTATAGGCACAGTTTTTACAGCCGAAAGATGTCAAACTTGCAATTTTTAAGGCTTAGTTTAGTTGAAATGGTTTACTATTGTTGATTAAAGAAATAAAGCTTTTGTATTCAAGCTTTGACAAGACCATCAAAGAGTTAAAAAAAAAAATTATTTGACTAGCTTCAAATATCTTTTTAACTAGAAACTTCAATCCAAGTCATATAAAATAGCATTATATCTATAAGTAAATATGATATGTGGGTACAGTTTAATAAGTTTGTTCGAATTTGAAATATAAACAATGTTAATCTTTGGAAGAGATAAACCAAATTTTTACTTTTTGTTAAAAATTTTGTAAGATTAGTAAAAAGATAAAAAAATAAAAAACTACTTGTTTTTTTTTAAAAGAGTATATATTGTTGTAAAACATGTTTTTATAATATAAAGTAGTTAGTGTAGTTGATATTTATTTTTTTTTTTAAATCTTTGACAGTTTTGCCAGTGCTCAATTTATTGGGACTATATTTTAGGTGAGAGTAAGCTCTCTCGAACAATACATATATTATTCATAATCAAAAAACAGGAAGTCTTGCAATTGCAAGCCTAACATCACCCAGCTGCGATAAACATGCCCAACTGCGACTTGTCACACCAACTTGTATACAAGTTAGATAAACTTTGTCAGCTCGTCAAAGCTTTTCCCTTCATATCTTCTTTCTTTATCAAGAGCAAAAGAAAGTAATGATTTCATACAAAACCACCAATACTATCAAGAAAACAAAACAAAAAACTAACTAAAAAAAAACAAGTAAAACGAAGGGATATTTTTAAAGGAAACAAAAAGAGAGTACAATGAGATATAAAAAAAAGAAACACAAAGAGAAAAGCCCGAGGGCTGACAAAGGGAGAAACTACCTCTATAATGAAATAGCATAGGAGAAACAAAATAAAAAAACAAAACAAGAAGAAATATACTATTATAACCTGTGCCAGGTCTAAGAAAAAATTTTATAACAACTGCAACATTTGTATATCTCGACTATAATATAAGATCTTTATTATCCGACTACCGGCCACCTCTGGATGTCTCTTATACCAGAGACCTGATCCTAGTCACGTGGAGGTTCCGTATCTATAGACTATATTGCATATCGTATCTACCGATAAACAAGGCATGTAGTTGTATTCCTGAGCACGTCCGAATTTGGGAGATAAACAATGCCGATTTTTTGAAGGGAGTAAGCTAAATTATCCACTTTTTGTTGAAAATTTTGGAGAAGCCAACAGGACCAAAAGAGACTTAAAGGAAGGACCACTAGTACCCAAAGAGAGTATTTTATCCTTGAAAGAACCGATGACTAGTAACTCTTTTTTTAGGAAAGAGAAGGAGCTACTGTACTTAAACGGTAAGTGATAAACTCTGAACTTGTCGGCAAGTAGCATATGAGAACTACTTCTAAACGACAAGTGCCGTACCAGTGATGAGTAATAAACTCTGAAGAAGTTAGCAGGTAGCATATGAGAACTACCTCTAAATAACAACTGCCGACTTATAGCTTCTAGTTTTACACTCTCCATTACTTACTAGTTACTGTTTTTACAAAAATTAGTTTGGAAAATTTTGGTTTTAGTGATTGTTGGAAAAAGTGATGATGAAAACCTGATATTTACTCTTTTAAATTTGCTAATCTAGTTCATATATATATATATTTTGGTGTTAAAATAGCTTCTTTGGCCAAGAGAACTGTTTTATTAAAAGTTATAGTAAGAGTATATCAAGCTATATATATACTTTAGATATCTAATTTAGATAGTCTACCTAAAGGTTTTATACTATTTGCTATATTTATAACCTACCAATAGAGTTATTTATTTAAACCTTCTAATTATATAGTAATTTAATTTTAAGTCAATAGAAACTTTTAACTTAGAGTATTATTTACTATTTATATACTAGA